TACTGAACAGTTGACAAACTTGATTGAATAGGCTACAATTAGCTCGTAAACAATACCTGCAGCTGTTGTATTTATTCCAAATGATGCAACAAAGTTCACTTTTCAAAATACCAAAAAATAACCTTTATATAGCCTTTTCTTGCACATATCTTGCACTTTCCCAGTATTATATAGCCTTTTCTTGCACATATCTTGACAACTGATTGAAAACAATACAGGAATGAACAGGTAACAAGAAAACAAAAATTTGCTTCGAAAAAGACAAACAAGCCGTCGCAGATTAAAACCCGGAAGTGAACGCGAGGTGCATACGTCATTTTCACGTCCTCTTGACCACAGAGTAGATAAGACATACAGAGACGTAACCACAGAGTAGAGACATACAGAGACGTAACTAGTGTACCCACTTTTTTTGTGCGCATGCTCGGCAAGTTACTAGATGCATGCATCTGATTGGATGACGACCTGATGACGACTCACTTTAAACTTGCTGAGCACGCGCAGTTGATCATTTTTCGCCCAGTCGCCTGAAAAAAAAGTGGGTACATGATAACGTAACCTTCTGCAGTGTTTACAACGGTCAGTTACGTCTCTGTATGTCTTATCTACTCTGTGACGTAACTGACCGTTGTAAACACTGCGGAAGATTACGTTATCATGTACCCACTTTTTTTCAGGCGACCGGGCGAAAAATGATCAACTGCGCGTGCTCAGCAAGTTTAAAGTGAGTCGTCATCAGGTCGTCGTCCAATCAGATGCATGCATCTAGTAACTTGCCGAGCATGCGCACACAAAAAGTGGGTACACTAGTTACGTCTCTGTATGTCTCTACTCTGTGTCTTGACGTCCGCGTCTTGTTATCTAAAAGCGTCTAATAGGGAGCTTTAGATTTGACTACGAGTACGACTACGAGTACGAGATTCGTCAAGCTAAACGCATGCTGTATGCTTACGCCATCCCGTACTGACGCGAAAAAGTCGTAGCCGTCGCCCATCTGAGTACGAAATTGTGGAGAAATCTCGTAGTCCTCACTACGACTTTTTTAAAAAAAAAGAAAGTTGACTTTTTTTTGTTTACCAAAAATAATTTGTAGCATTTATATAGCGTTTATCCGGTGCAAATAATATATTAGTACTAAATATCTGGCCTGTTTTAAATGTTATGACTTATTTTCACGTTTTGTAGGGGATTTTAGTCTGCAGGAGATTTAGTTTGTGAAACTTTTTCTCTCGATGTTGGTTTACTGCTATAAAAGCAACATTTGAATGGAAACGAAAACGACTACGGTAATTTCCTCGCACGCGATCAAATCTCGTACTCGTAGTCAAATCTAAAGCTCCCTAATATCAGAGCAAGCGCCGTTCACCTCTGAGATCGTGGGTTAGATTCTCGCTATACGGACTCATGCATGACACTTATGTGAAAAGAGTCAGTCAACGCTCTACCGAAAGTCGTGGGTTTTCTTGGGGTACTCCGGTTTCCTTCCACAGGAAATGTTGACAGGGTGGGTTGGGATTATCCCGCCAACTCACCCTTTCATCGTAGCTGTGCTCCGTGTTCAGACATGAGTCATAAGGTGGCTGCCATAGGCGCCCTTAGAATGCCTTCGTCTCGATCAAGTTGAACTGCGTCCCAGTGCTCCATCTTCATTTAAGCAAATGTTTAAATTCTTATCTTCTATTCGACAACGGGCTCTGACTAGAGCTTGCGCATATGACCTTCAACAACCCCCCTTCCCGCGTACTGACTCTGGTAAACGAACATTTCTGTACAGTGCTTCCATTCTTTTTAATTGCTTAAATAGCGGTTGTAAGCAACTTGCTGCTTTGCCATCTTGCTCTTCATATACTAACGACAAACAAAAAATTCGTAAAATCTTTCTTAACAAGCTTAACCTTACCATGGATAATAAAATAAATGGATAGGAAACTAGCTGACGTGACCTAATGTTTTCAATGGGCTGATGGCGTGATTGGATGTTGAAACCTAGTTGCAAACCAAATTCTCAAAAACGGCATGTTTTAGTAATAAATTACAGCTAAACATTTTAGTCAAAGAGCAAATGAATATAACTACGCCATTCTACGATGAAATCTCTATGTATTCCCAGTCAATTTTAGCAAATATTTCAAGCACGAAACAGTGAAAAAGGCATCCCAAATTTCGTTAAAATTGGGGACGCCAATTTCGTAGCTACAAATGTAAAAAAATACAAAACAAAGACGAAAAACATTTACCTTGAATACTTTGTCGTGGCTTAGGCATGTTTTTGAAACAATTACACCGGTTTGTGCTTCAATATTGCTCTTATAAGGCGGAAAATATAGCGAAACAACAAAAATGCAGAGAACTTTGCAATACGCGTGACGTCACAGATTGCAACTAGGTTGTTTTTGCTTACGTCAGCGAGAGTCCTATCCATTTATTTTATTATCCATGACCTTACTAACCATATCGAAGATCTATTTTGTATAAATTGTAAATATTTACTAAATTGTAATTGTATTCATTACTAATTTTTTTTTTTTTCTCATGTAAATAGTCGTAATCTTTAATACTTCTTATGTCTGTAAATATCAAAATAGTGCGAGGGCCGTATGTTAGATAACTTTTATGGTTAATACGTTTTCCCTCGTGAAATAAACTTTCTATTCTATTCTATTCTTGTAATTCAGCTTACATGTAGCTCTCAGCTGCAAGTAAGGATGATTAGCACGCCCCACTTACTTACTTACTATTTTTTCCACCGTATGTTTTTTGTATAGGGAATGACACTTCTTCACTGGGCGTGTGACAAAGGCTACCAAGACATTGTGGAATATCTTATTAAAACAAAGTGTGACATAAACTCCCAAGTAAGTATACTACTGTCTGTACAAGTGTGTAAAATCAAGACCAATACCTCTGGATTAACATACCACACATATTGGATTCATACACTAATGTAGGATGTCCAGTCCACATATTATACAACAAGCTTTGCAGATATGATTGTGAGATGATGTAGGCTGACTTAGGCATGAATGATAGGTTTTTGTGGTCTCCAAGAAACGCTGTTCCATTTTTGAGTAAACGTAAATTGTACATTTTGAAATTACCTTTTTTCATTTTTATGATAACAAGGATAGCGAAGGCCAAACTCCATTACATTATGGTAAGTTGAACAATCATGGCATTATTGACTCAAAGCTAGGTTAGCTCAACCCTAGGTCAACCTAAAATTCAAGCAAACTCCCTGACAGCTTGTCTATAAATTTGGAAATATTTCTTCAGAGATCTTGTCTGGAGCGATAGGAGTTTACTTTCTCTCAAGTTTTGAAATAAACAGACGCGTAGAAATACACAAAGTATTTCTTTCTACCTCTTCTCTCTTTTCATCTACTGTGCTTCTAACCTTCCATTTCTCTTTTCTATTTCATATATTTTGTAATTTTGTCTGTTCTGTAATATTTAGTGGTGAGCACCCTGCATGGGACATGGTCTCGTTTGTGCTTCGCCTCTTTTGGCATCTGTTTGGCATGTTAGGTCAACCTAAAATTCAAGCAAACTTCCCGACAGCTTGTCTATAAATTTGGAAATATTTCTTCAGAGATCTTGTCTGGATCGATAGTTTACTTTCTCTCAAGTTTTGAAATAAACAGACGTGTAGAAATACACTAACTAAAACAGCAGATTAAATTTTAACCCGGGGTTAGCGCTAACCCACCTTTGAACAACCGGCACCTGATCTCGAATATGAAGACGCCCTAATGGAAAGTGGGTTACTAAGACTCAGTGCTAAGACTCCACGAGAAGAGGGACAAGGCTTATGAGAAATTTTTTAATCAAATTTTTTAAAATCCTAATATTAACACGTATCTTCTTGTTATAATTATTAAGAAAACTTTAAAGATGCTGTAATGTCCGTAATGTAAACAAACGCTTTGTTTACATTTTGAATTCAGTGCTACAGTTATAAAACATGTACTAGATAAAACATGAGCAGCCGATCTGTATCTGATATACAAACTCGAGCCGAAGGCGAGAGTTTGTATATCAGATACAGATCGGATGCGAATGTTTTATTGTACTTAAAAAATGACCCATCTTGTGAGTTCTTTGGCGAAGTAATTTTAAAAATAAACATTGTCTAAGCCAAGAAAATCAAAGCTGAAGTTTATGTAAATCAGGACAAATCTTTATCCGATTTACAAACATTGATTAAACATTCATTTCTTTTGTATTTTCCTCGTGAATTATTAATGAGTTTTTTAAGTACTATTTACAACATGAGCGGCCGTGTTGTATCGGATATACAAACTCGAGCGCGAATGTTGTATAAATGGCTTAAAAAACGACTCATCTTATGAGTTCATTGGCGAAGTAATTTTAAAAATAAACGTTGTCTAAGCCGAGAAAATCAAAGTTAAAGTTTATGTAAATCAACATGAATCTGTATCACTTATACATACTCCTTCACGCCCGTGATTTCTTTTGTATTTTCTTCATGAATTATTAATGTCCTGAGTTTTTTAAGATTAGATATATATATTATACTGAATTTTTAACACTCTTCTGGTTCGCTATGCTTGTAAATGAATACAGACCAGAGATTCAATTCAAGAAAGTTCGGAAGGTGCGAAATATTAATAACATTCCAATGGTTGGGCCCGACCGTTGGAATGTATAGGCCTGCGCAGAACGGACTTTACAGCATCTTTAAAACAGAATGATACAAAAACTCCTTTTTAATAACACATTTTTAGCTGTAATATAATTAGTATAGTGGAACAATGTAATCACTATATGTAAGTCAGTAACATTGCTACAAAGTGAGTGATAATTATACTATCTATCTTTATACAACTTTCAAACACTCATTAATAATTCATAAGCTTATTGGCAAATCATGTCAACCATAATATGTCACGTGCAGTGGCTTTAAACCTGATGAAACACTCCTAATTAGTATTCTTTATATAAAGAATACTGATCAGGCAGTATCTATTGTAGTCGTGTCCTCATTAGTATTTTTTATATAAAGAATACTAGTGTCTAGTAAGGCAGTATATCTATTGAATTTGTAGTCGTGTTTGAAGCCGTTTAATAAACTCGCAGGTCGTGTTTTACGGTATTAGGTCAAAAGCCACTCGCGCTGCGCGCTCGTGTCTTTAAGGCCCCGATTACACTATACCGGACTGCATCGAAGCGACGCGATTGCTGTACCGGATTGGCCTCTTGTTTACACTACGCCACTGTAATCCGGTACGTGCCGCGGCGCGAAAATCACTTCGCTTTGGAGGTGATATGAAAAGTAATCCGGTACGTGCTGTACCGGATAAAACCAAGTGTAATCAGGCAATCCGGTACGCTCCGGTACTATAAATGGGTTTCGGCAAGTATATTTTAACATTGTCGTTTTATTTACTCGCTTTTAAATATTTTATAGCTGTTGTTTGCTTCGCTTTACAATTATTTATTATTTCTAGCGAAGACAAATAAAGATAGCGGTAATAACATTGACTTCTTGCTTTCAAAAGGGCAAAATTTAATGAAATACTCGTCAATTTTCGATAAGAGCGAGACAAAGCAACGTCGGGTGGTCATGAAAGCTTTGTAAACAAAGTTATAATTCACAAGTACTGTCGAGAAAACGTCCAAAATGGTCAAAACTTATTATTTGTTTCCGTGGCAACGATAAAAGATACGAGCTGGCGACAGAGCGAAGCGGCATAGTGTAAACACCCTTGATTTTGGCTTCGGTGTGAAAATTGATCCGGTATGAAAATCAATCCGGTATAGTGTAATCCCAGCCTAAACCTAATAAAACACTCCTGCTCGTTTATTAAACAGTATTTAAATTATATCAACTGTGGTATTTTTCCTTCTTCATTTCAGCTGTAATTTGTGAATTTGAATCAATTGTAAAAACGCTGCTTTCCGCAGGAGCAAAGACGAATTTAACAGATAATGAGGGCAACGTTCCATCTAATCTAACATCGCAATCTAAATTCCTAGAACTGTTATCTGCCAGATAACGCTTGTAACAATTTACCATTTAATGTAAACTGAACATTATTAATTGGTTGTTTATACTCCAGAGAAGACTTATTAACAAGAACATGAGATTGTATTATATTTTATTGTTATTTAATTTATAAAAATAAATTTAATTATTTTAATTATTTTCATTGGTGTTCTTCAAACATTTCAATCAGTTATTCTTTCGATTCGGTCACTTGTCTGCTAGCCACCAGTCCAGTAATTGTGGCACAAAATATGTTATGATCAAATCTGCTCCTATATAATGAATCAAAGTTACAAATGGTTTGAAATCATTTGCATTGTTCTTTGAGTCAGTGGGGTTCAAACTCGTATCTTCGCATGAGAAAATGTACATCAGGGGGGTGCACACCACACCTAGTACCACCCAAAAAAATCTGTTCGACCATACATTTTCTGCTCTTCGAACAGCGATTAGCGGAACTTAAATATCATGGTTATAAATATGTAAACATATCGAGGTTGTTATACAGCAATATTTTCAAATATACTGCAACTGTCGAGTCACGCATAAGTGATAAAAAGCTCATATAAACTTTATAAACAAACCATAATGCAAAACTTAACAGAAGGGCGAACATGCAGATTCGGCCATCTCAAATAATGGTAATGTTCGGATAGTACTAGTAGCGTTGCAGACTGCAGAGGAGAGTGGACAGTAAGGCCACAGAATAAGAAGGTACAGCAGAAGTGTAACTCAAGCAAGTATTTGTCCGCGTTTCTACAAGCGATTCGTCATCAATCACGCCATCCTGGCTAGTCAACCGGCACTTTGTACCTACCAAAACCTGATAAAAACTTCCGGTTGTACTAGCCAGGATGGCGTGAGCGAGTTAAAATTTTCGTGGACGTAAAACAATAAGGGAACCGACTGGAGTTACACTTCTGCTGTACCTTCTTATTCTGTGGTAAGGCTCCCTCGTGCACCACCTGATGGAAAACCTGCACCCCTCCTTGCAGATGAGGCCAGCTCCGCCCCTACATCATATAGTCACGCTTACCAGCACGTCTCATACACTGCAGTGTCTCCAGAACACTATCCTTTAAACTGAAAGCACCCGCTTCACTGCCGTGGTAGAGCATTGCATATTCCCCTGATACCTAAAGGATAATATTTTACGTTTTTGATTACGGACCTCCGAGGAATCAGTCGTTATTTATGGCTGTGGGTGGCACCGAAGAGAAATATTTTTCTTCGTAAAAGGTTTGCTGCCCCTCACCAAAAACGTCACAAAAGGATACCATTCAGTTGTCACATATGTCCTCCTGTGACACGAGTTTGATAACTGATTGTGCAATGGACCATTTGCATTATAAACTAAATTTTGATCTAAACAAGTCTAGACAAAAATTTCATCACAGCTTGAAAGAGCATCACAAAAGTAGTAATATTCCAAAGTTTCGTTGCGAAATGTTGTAAAATGCGGATAATATTATATAGCCTTGCGAAATTTGCAATTTTCAGTCATTTTGTATTACAAACGGGAAATTGATGCCCCAACACCCGATTGGACTGTCAATTTACCGTGCGTAATACAAAATGACTGAAAAACGGCAAACTTCGCAAGGCTATCTTATCCACATTTTACAACATTTCGCAACGAAACTTCGGAATATTACTGATTTTGTGATGCTCTTTCAAGCTGTGATGAAATTTTTGTCTAGATCAAAATTTAGTCTATAATGCAAATGGTCCATTGTCTGCAGTCTAAAGTTTCCTGTTGTCTGCACAGTCATGTACTTTCTTTCAAGATAGTGACTCTGATTGATTGGTTTACATATTGTATTGACATATGACTGGTGACATTGCTTTTTAGTCTTCGATATTGTCAAAAGCGAGTCGTGCTTTGGAAATAACAATAAATTTTTATTAGCCAACCCTTGAGTTGTTTTGCTTTTCATTTGCCCAACCTTTTACTCACTCAAACCTTTTCTCTTCCATCTCCGACCATAAAGAATGACCGGTCCCTTAGCTAGGAGAACAGTTCATAACAGGGTAATGTTTTGCATCTAAACTATAAAAGAAAGCTGTTCACAAGAAGATATAAAAGCTTTCAATATATAAATACCTGATAAATTGCTAACGGTAAATTCGGAAACTACATGAGCAAACAATGAAAATTAGTGAAACATCGATCTGAACATTTGACAGAAAAAGGCATGACAATCAAAAGTTTGATATCAAATGGGCAGTTTGTATTTAAAATTTCAACCTTGTCTTTAGTTTTGCGCACAACATCCAAATAAGGTAACCCTGGCTTAACCATCAACATATCTGCACCCTCGTTCACATCTCGTTCCTAAGGTGAATATAATCAAACTTCCTTTTTTTAATTCTTCGATATACAATCTTAAAATGCCTGAGCCATTTGATACGCACGTAAAAATCACACAACTTGTCAACAAGATGTGTGTGTTTGCAACAAGCTTCTCAACAAGTTGTAACAATGTTGTTATTTTATCAAGTTGCTACAAGGTTGTCACTCACAACTTGTTGACAAATTGTTGAGCTGCAGGAAGATAACAAGTTGTTGGAACAACTTGCAACAAGTCTGTTGAGCTCAACAACCTTCTGTTGAGCTCAACAACAAGCTGGGAACAAGCAGTGCGAACACATCCTGTTGACAAGTCGTTGCAACAGCATTGTTACAAGTGTGCAGCAGATTTGTTACAACTTATGTGTTTTTACGTGTATAAGCCTGTAAGGGGCCGATTACATAGAGCATTTTCAACCCCGGGGTTGAACTCAGCCCTGGTGACCGGGTTGAAATTTCAGCCAACCTTATCAAAACCAAACGATCGAGTTCCACCCCGGGGTTGATCGAGTTCAACCCTGGGGTTGAAATTTCAACCCTGCTTCAGCTACCAGGGTTGAAATTTCTCAACCCCGGAGTGGAACTCGGCCCTGGGTTGAAAATTTGGTCATGTAATCGTTTTTTACTTCCGGGAATCAATGCCGGGAACGTATAGCATTTCAACCGCGGGGGTTGAAATCGTCCATGTAATTGCAAAAACATTCAACACGGTTAACAGGGCTGAGTTCAACTCCGGGGTTCAACTCCATGTAACTGGCGCCTAAATCTTATGCTTACCACGGCTCGCATTGCTAACCCCATTGAACCAGGAGGCAGTTGATAGCAGCTGCGATCACCATGTGACGGAGCACTCTGAGCAGCGTCTCTAATGAGGAAAATTCACCAAATGTGTTCTAGATATATTGCGTCAGTTACGTTCTAAACTATTCACCCTAACTTGAAGATTCTCACTTCGCGCACTTTTCGCTATCTATGCATACAGGGTGTATAAAAAACTGCACATGCAGTTCGAAATGTCCACGCTAAACTGCAAATTCAGCGAAATTTGCAAAAGCATGGGTAGTTGCAAAAGCTCGTCGCCAGTTGCAACATTATGACGTCATACTGTGGATCTATAATTGAGCAGACAACGGCAAAATCTTATCTATTTGTTAAGTATATAAAATTTCCACTCGATAATCTCCATCAACAACACCATTCAACTACACACGCAAAAAGCTCACATCTTGTAGCAAGTCAGGCAACAGGTAAAAATCTCACATCTTGTTTGTAGCAAGTCTGCCAACAAGCCGTCAACAAGTTGTGTCGCGCTGCTTGTCCCAAGTTGTCAACAAGTTTGGAACAAGCTGTTAACAACTTGTAACAACCTTGTTGATATTATTAGACTTGTTGCAAGGTTGTTCCAACAGGTCCGATACAATCATGATACAACAATGTTGTTACAACCTTGTGTCGTCAACCTCGTAACATTATTGTTCTATCATGACTGTATAAGACCATGGATAATAAAATAAATGGATTGGAAACTTCTGACGTCATTGACTGCATCCTTGTTGAAAAACGTGATGTCACGCGTATTGCGAATGTTACCAAAGTTCTCGGCATATTTGTTGTTTTGCTATATTTTCCACTTTAAAAGGGTGATCTTGAAGCGTAAACTGGTCTAATTGTTTTAAAAACATGCCTAAGCCACGACAAAGTATTGAAGGTAAATGTTTTCGTCTTTGTTTTATATTTTTTTACATTTGTAGCTACGAAATTGGCGTCACAAATTTTAACGAAATTTGCGATGTATTTTTCACTGTTTAGTGCTTGAAATATTTGCTAAAATTGACTGGGAATACTTAGAGTTTTCATCGTAGAATGGCGTGGTTACATTTACTTGCTCTTTGACTAAAATGTTAGGCTGTATTATTGCTAAACATGCCGTTTTTGAGAATTTGATTTTCAACTAGGTTGCGGCATCCAACCACGCCATCAATCCCAGTAAAAACATTAGGTCACGTCAGCTAGTTTCCTATCCATTTATTTTATTATCCATGATAAGACTTATTAGAACAACCGTGGAACAAGTTTGATAATGCCATCAAGCTTGTTACAAGTTCTTAACAGCTTGTTCCGAACTTGTTACAACAACTGGGAACAAGCAGTGCGAACACAATTTGTCGACAGCTTGTGAACATATTTGTAACAACTTGTTTGCAGACCTGTAACAACTTGTGCGTTTTGACGTGTGTA